CTGGAGTCACTGATACACTCCAAAGCTGAGTTATCGGTGACAACCGATGCAGGAGGATGAACATGACAGCCAGGCCTGGAGCAGATATTGCAATGGGTGTCCCCCCCCGACCCGTCCGCCGGAAGGAGCTGCGGAGTTTTCGGCTATGGCCGTCAGGGAAGTATGAGGTCACGTGACCGGCATCGGCTGTGTGACGGGCGCTGAAGCCGGAGCCCCAGTGCAGGAACATCTATGGGGGATCTGTGCGTGGACCCCGCCATTGAGGTCACCGAGGCCAATGGGATTGATGAATGGAACGAAGGTGAACATGTGGTGGGAGGAGGATGCCAGCGATTAGCCGACGGCAATGATCCGCCTCCCCCCCCTACAATACAGGAATCCTCCCGTCACATGATCGAATGGCGGTGCTTGGTCATGTGAGCTTGGCCTGAGCCATGAGGGGGGAGGGGCATAAGAGGACCTGTCACCCGTGCTAAGGCAATGCCATTCATAGACTCGGAACGCACCTGTAGCCGGTCCTTTGCGAAGTCCGCGTATTCCACCGTCTCCCCGCCGCGCGTCACGTCTAAAAATAAAGAGCGGCGATTAGAAGGAGGACGATTCTAAAGTGTGATGTCATCAAGTAACGCAGCCGGTGGTGAGGAACTACTATTCCCAGCATGCCCTGTTACATTCACTGGGCTCCTCCCAGACTCATCTAGCCCAGTTGTGGCTGGACTACGACTCCCAGCATTGCCCGCCGAGCTGCAGCGGGGGGGCTTACCTCTGCCGCCTTCTGTCAGGACCACCGTACAGTACTGCACGTCCTCCTCCTCCCCAATGCGTCTCTCTGAAAACAAGGAGCGGATCAGCTTGTTAGAACCATGAACCCAGAAAGGTCCTTTAAACCCAGCGGCACCCGAACCCGCCCCCCAAATCATCCGGCAACACACCCCAAAGTGTGCACGAGGCAGCGGCTCTCCACCCGTGTGACCTCAGGGCCCCGCGCCTGTCACCTCAGGACCCGCTTCTGTCACCTCAGGGCCCGCTTCTGTCACCTCAGGGCCCGCTTCTGTCACTCAGGTACATTTGGGGTGCCATTCAAATGAATTGCAACGCAGAATGTGACGTCACTCCGGTCCAGGCCCCTCTACAGCGCACGTGAGGGAGGTGTAAGCAACGCATGTATGGATGGAGATCCCTCGGGGCCATACCCCTCAGCCCACCTCCAGCTGACACTCGGCGCCGGGCAGCATATTTTGAATGGCTGCTCGGCTAGAGAACCGAATGCTGCACTAGGGGGAGGAGCCTCTCACCAAGAAAAATGGAAGCCATGCGTGCGACCCACTAAACAAGGGGTCACAACCAGGGCCGGATTTCCCACAAGGCCCGACCTCAGGGCAGGAGGGAGTAGAGGGGCAGCAGGGGCGTGGAAGCAAATGGCATCAAAATCGGCTTCTTTTATGGAACCTTCTTTACCTGTAATAATAATACCCTAAGTTTCTCTCTACAGTCCGAAGACTGGCGACCTCTAGTGGAGGAAAAGTATTACTGCGGCTCCCGGCTATGGCAGCAAAATCGGCTTCTTTTATGGAACCTTCTTTACATTTTGGGGTTTCTCCTTTAATGAATGTGGCCCGTTGTCACCCAGTTCTTCAAGCTGCCGCCCCGGTTGTCTTATTATAACTCATTCCGGCGTCCCAATACTTCCTTTTATCAACAAAACGTTACTTCTCCTCTCTTCATATGTATCACATTTATCATCTAGAGAACTAACATGAGCCGCGTATACAAAGTAACAAACCGCAGAGATGAGAAAACGTCTATTTATAGTACGAGATTATCACAAAGCCCTTTATATTTAATAATAGTCCGGTGATAGGGAAGGGGCCGGATTTCCCACAAGGCCCGGCCTCGGGGCAGCATGGAGCAGAGGGGCAGCAGGGGGGTGGAATTCCTATCTCCTGATGCCCGGGGACATGCAGTTCCGGGCGCCGGGCCGCTAGTTGTTTTCTACATTGCAGTTCCGGGCGGGTAGTTTGTTTTCTACATGTAGCCCGGCTTTGGGCAAGCAGAGCTAAATGTACAGTGTGGAAGCCGCCGCTTGTTCTGTACAAGTTATCTGCCATTCTCCATTGATAAGGGGGTTGGCGGGTAGGGGGGGTGCATTGAGGAACCTGGCCTTGGGGCAGCAGAGAGAGTCAATCCGGCCCTGGGTAAAAATCACAGACAGGAAATGTATCAATCACAGGAAATGGCCACCAAACATCTCATCTATAAAGATCTTTCTTCACATTTCTAGCCGAGACAAATAGAATTTTGGCTTTTCAATAAGAAACACAACGCAGGAGACCGAAGATTATAATCGTTATTAGAAGACTGGAAGGAGATTCGTGGTACCTGATCCCCTCGCTGACACATTCTCGTACGTGTTCTCCTCTCCCGTCTCTGGCTCTGTTACAGAAGAATTGTTATTAAAGACGGAAATTCTAAAATCCACATTCCTGGCCACAGAAGAGACACAAATATGCGACCCCAGCGACCTACATCCTAAATCAGCCGTTCTACACCAGGGATCTATAGAACTCTATGGTTCCTCCACAGGTTGGCAAGATCATTCCTCCCACTGACCCCCAATGTAAGGGACATTCTTCCCACTGACCCCCAATGTAAGGAGCATTCTTCCCACTGACCCCCAATGTAAGGAGCATTCTTCCCACTGACCCCCAATGTAAGGGACATTCTTCCCACTGACCCCCAATGTAAGGAGCATTCTTCCCACTGACCCCCAATGTAAGGAGCATTCTCCCCACTGACCACCAATGTAAGGAGCATTCTCCCCACTGACCCCCAATGTAAGGGACATTCTTCCCACCTCCTTCCTGACATATAAACATGCGTGTTCTGGTGGAGTCTGCGCATGTTTATCTGGTGTGTCCATCTACTGTCTGCAGCCACCTTTACTCACGTGCAGCGGGGGTGTAAATCCTCCAGAACACAAAGGCCGCTGTTATTATAATCAGGACGAGGAGAGGAATGAGCCAGGCTAGGAGCGTCCATCCTCCATGTGTCTCACCTGGTCACAAAAGGAAACTAATATTAACTCTTCTTGTGGTGGAAATGTCAGTCTCAGGATACGCAGAGGCTGGAAGCTGCAGCCCTGCACACGTCAACTACAGATTAAAGAGCACCTGTGCCCAGGTCAAAACAACCCCTCATTGACGGGAGAGTGACATCACCCAATGAAAAGCAGCCTAGGAGGACGCCGCACCCCGGGGGAGTGACGTCACCCAATGAAGAGCAGCCAAGGAGGACGCCGCGCCCAGGGGGAGTGTCGTCACCCAATGAAGAGCAGCCACGGAGGACGCCGCGCCCCGGGAGAGAGGGACGTCACCCAATGAAGAGCGGCCAAGGAGGACGCCGCGCCCAGGGGGAGTGTCGTCACCCAATGAAGAGCAGCCACGGAGGACGCCGCGCCCCGGGAGAGAGGGACGTCACCCAATGAAGAGCGGCCAAGGAGGACGCCGCGCCCAGGGGGAGTGTCGTCACCCAATGAAGAGCAGCCACGGAGGACGCCGCGCCCCGGGAGAGAGGGACGTCACCCAATGAAGAGCGGCCAAGGAGGACGCCGCGCCCAGGGGGAGTGTCGTCACCCAATGAAGAGCAGCCACGGAGGACGCCGCGCCCCGGGAGAGAGGGACGTCACCCAATGAAGAGCGGCCAAGGAGGACGCCGCGCCCAGGGGGAGTGTCGTCACCCAATGAAGAGCAGCCACGGAGGACGCCGCGCCCCGGGAGAGAGGGACGTCACCCAATGAAGAGCGGCCAAGGAGGACGCCGCGCCCAGGGGGAGTGTCGTCACCCAATGAAGAGCAGCCACGGAGGACGCCGCGCCCCGGGAGAGAGGGACGTCACCCAATGAAGAGCGGCCAAGGAGGACGCCGCGCCCAGGGGGAGTGTCGTCACCCAATGAAGAGCAGCCACGGAGGACGCCGCGCCCCGGGAGAGAGGGACGTCACCCAATGAAGAGCGGCCAAGGAGGACGCCGCGCCCAGGGGGAGTGTCGTCACCCAATGAAGAGCAGCCACGGAGGACGCCGCGCCCCGGGAGAGAGGGACGTCACCCAATGAAGAGCGGCCAAGGAGGACGCCGCGCCCAGGGGGAGTGTCGTCACCCAATGAAGAGCAGCCACGGAGGACGCCGCGCCCCGGGAGAGAGGGACGTCACCCAATGAAGAGCGGCCAAGGAGGACGCCGCGCCCAGGGGGAGTGTCGTCACCCAATGAAGAGCAGCCACGGAGGACGCCGCGCCCCGGGAGAGAGGGACGTCACCCAATGAAGAGCGGCCAAGGAGGAC